TTTAGAAGAACGAAAAAGTACCAAAAGTTCCCTTTTATAGATTCTCATTTACTCCGGGATCTACATGCTTAATTTCATGATACCTTTTCGAAGGAAGAAAAGGTATCAAAAAATCCCCTTTTATAGATTCTCATTTACTACGGGCTCTACATGCTTAATTTCATATTTCTAGGTTTAATTTTAAAGAAAACTCAAAAAGTATCTTTTGTAGAACGAAAAAGTACCAAAAAGTCCCTTTATTATTAATTTCATGTTTCGATTTCAATATCATAGAAAACTCAAACAGTACCAGTTGGAGAATAAAAAAGTACCAAAAAATATAACTTGGTACCGGTGTTCCAAATAACACCCCATTAGCATATTTAGTGTTTCTAAATCTAAAATTTTTATATAAATTGGATCATTGTGTTTGAATAAAATAAAATTTCCCGTTTTTACCCCTTTTGGTACTTTTTTCCTCCCCATTAACGAAATAAAAATTCTGTTCCAAAAAGTTGCAACATCGTATTGGAAGCCCGTTATTACGTATTCATAGGTAGGTATAAGTTAATAAACCAAAAACAATGTTTTATAAAAAAGTACCAAAAATAGGTACAATTTTCACACCTTAATCGTCCGAATATCCTAAAAGTACTAAATTCCTATTTCAATTTTTTCGTCAAGTTATGAAGGAGTCAAAAATATTTTTTGAATGTTCTCTGGTTTAAAAGATACATGGGGTGCAAAAAATTACCAAAATACAGTTTTTACCCGTTTATTCCCTAAAGGTGCCGAATTTTAAAAAAGTACTAGACACCTGTCCGCTTATTTTTTAAATGAACGACGATAAGCTTTAAACTGATTTTGTATCTTTTATAGTTTAGGAGATATGAGGTTACCGAATTTACCTGTTTTTACCCTTTTTTACCTAAACATTTGAATTTCCAAAAATCCCATCTTAGTGGATCTATTTGGTATGAGAAAAACCTCCTGTCCAAATTTCAACTCTTTAGCTTCAACCGTTTAGGCTGTGCGATGATGAATCAGTCATTCAGTCAGTAACGTTAGAATTGTATATATAGATTAAAAATAAAAAAATGTATTCTAATTTTATTTTATTCTGAGTTGTAACTTTTTAATTTTGTACCTCTGATTATTACTTGAATCAAAAATATTCTTATATTTACTGAAAGTCACATCTGTTTTTTATACCCTACACCACTTTAGTGGGGAGGGTATATTGGGTTTGTACTGATGTTTGTAACGCACAATAATATTGGTCCTAAAGTATACCAATTGGCTTAGAATCATTTTCTGAGTCGATTTAGCTATGTCCGTCCGTCTGTCCATCCATGTAAACCTTGTAATAAAACTAGATAATTCAAAGAAATTTGGCACATGATCTTCTATGGCATCGGAGACAAAGCCTATGGTTAACATCGGTCCATTATTTCACCTAGCCCCCATACAAATGAACCCCTGAAATGGGCTTGTAAACCTTGTAATCAAACTACAGGTAGCAATTTTGAAGATAATTCAATGAAATTTGGCACATGATCTTCTATGGTACCGGAGACAAAGCCTATTAAAAATGGTTAACATCGGTCCATTATTTCACTAGCCCCCAACCCGACGAATAAGGCTTTTAAATTCATAATTATGTTTAATATACTCGTATCTCAACAAAAAGCTGCAAAACCAAGTGCTATACTAGCCTTGATGACTTTCATGAATTTTGTAATTATAGGGTCTCATTTGACCATAGCACCTACACAAAGCCCCCTTCAAAATTTGACTTAAATGTCCACAATTTTATTCAACAATAAATGGCTTAAGTATATCTGAAGCAAGGTACAATTCAACTACAATGCTTTATTATGAAAACAAAATCACATTTCATTTTTGTAACAGGTGTAGGGTATTATATGGTCGGCCTCGCCCGACTATAATTTCTTACTTGTTTTCTTTGTTATTGAGTATTTCATTTTTTGTAAACAATTAAGAAAACATTATTTTGTGTTCCACTAAGTATGTATGTATATTTTTATATCAACTATCCAAAAATATAAACTATATTTATTTTATCAGCCTGTTTGTAACACATCAAAACTTTGTGTGTATAAATTCTGGGTATTACCTGTAGTTGGTCACAGAGGCGATGACATAAGTTTACGAAATTTTAACCAAATGTATTTGGATGATCAGAAATGTTTGTTAACAAATAAAAAATAATTGCAGTAATAACTAAACGAATCCAAATTTTTTTATCGAAATATACACATATATGTATATAAAAAAATATATGTATATAAAAAAATGCCGAAAATTCCACTCTTAGTTGTTGTATTTTAAATTTATAAGTATTTCAAATAACACATACACATATTTTTTTCGAACCACTTTCAATTTGTGTATTTCGATTTCATCAAGCGAAAAATACAATTGATGCAAATATTTAGATTTCAAAAATTTGCATGTGAAGACTTATTTACAATTATTTAAAAATATAATTATTGGTATTGGCAAAAAATGTTTAAGTTGAATAATTTTAAATTAACAATTATTATCACATTAAAGCAGGAAAATATTTTTAACTTATAAAGATAAAATTAGCAGCACTTACAACCATTATCTATCATTTTTGAATTATTTTGAGCTAGTAAGAAATTTAAAATCCGTTGATACGATGTTTATATAGTAAAAATATTCGAAAGACTGAAACGTTTACAAATCGTACTTAGGTATATATTTAAAATCTTTGTGCACATGTAGCTATAGGTAGTTAAAATCTGTCAATAACTGTATTAATTAGGATTTTCCTAATTAATGTTTACAACTGTTGAAGGTGCAGGTAAATCGTTTTGAAAACAGGATTTGTAAATTGAATACTTACCTGTAAATGAGGTTCTTTATTCTAACTTTTCAATAACACGTTATTACCTTGTGAACGTTCTTATGTTCTTAATGCAATTCTCTAAATGTATAATTTCTGGATACTTAATCCTTCACCAAAAGTAGCTTATAGTGTTACCAGCAAAATATAAAAAATCAGAATGGGACAATGAGGTAATCTCATGAAAATCAGAGTTTAGTAAAATGACTGACATCACTCCAATACAAATTTCAAAATGTAATAGTTTTTGTTTGCAATTTTTCAGACTTTTATTGTGTTCATCAAGACATAAAATTCTAAACTTTGTAATTTGCATAGAAATGATGTGGATTATTTTACTAATAGTTGATTTACTTGAGGTCCCCCATTTATCCCATTCTGAAATTTTTATATTTTGTTGAGAACACTATAAGCTTTTTTTGTTGAAGGTATAAAGAAAATGGAAGATACCTTTTTTGAGATATCATTGACTAAATGATGTTTTGCATATCGTTATGTTAAATCTATAATACTTTAAATAAAATATGGTCAAACTACAAAACATAGGCTTTAATTAGGGTCTAAAACGGATAAATAATATATAAAATATTAACTTTGATCCTCGAGAAAATCTAAAACGTAATGAATTTGGACATTTTAGAGAACCTTAATTAAGCTTCGTATTTATACAAAGAATGCGTGTACCAAATTTTATCGAAATCGGAAAGGTACAAAACCTGTTCGAAAAATTTTTAAATTTACCTATACAGTATTCACTAAATATTTTACTGTCCGATTTTCAGAAACTTAGTTTCCTGGACGTAATTCCTAAGAATTTTTCAATCAATGTAAGTTTTATATCCAGAACTACAATGGAATATGTTTTTCTGAAATTAGGGAACATGTTTATCCGTATATTTTTGCGTAATAAACGTCATTAATCAAAAACACACCCATATGTGGCAGGCATTGGGGGTAATGATTACACAAAGTAATTCATTACATGGTCAATTACAATTACTTGCAATGTGTAATTGAGCAATAACCAATTACAATTACTTGTAATTGTAATGGAAATTTTTCCAATCACAATTAATTGTAATGTGTAATTGACCAATAACCAATTACAATTACTTGTAATTGTACTTGAAGTTTTGCCAATTACAATTACTTGTAATTGTAATTGAAATTTTCCAATTAAAATGACTTGTAATTGTAATTAAGGTATTACTAATTACAAATTACATGTAATTATAAGGAAAAAAATTCACAATTACAAGTAATTGTAATTGGAAATTCTTCAATTACAATTACAAGTAATTGTAATTGGCAAAACTTCAATTACCATTACAAGTAATTGTCAAAACTTCAATTACAATTACAAATAATTGTAATTGGCAAAACTTCAATTACAATTAAAAGTAATTGTAATTAGTAAAGCTTCAATTACAATTACATTTGAAGTAATGTAGTCATTACCCCCCAAGCCTGATATGCGGTCGACTGGCCAGTGGATCCGTCAATGCATTACAGGCAGGGATTGGGGGGTAATAATTACACAAAGTAATTAATTACATGGTCAATTACAATTACTTGTAATATGTAATTGAGCAATAACCAATTACAATTACTTGTAATTGTAATTGAAATTTTGCCAATTACAATTATGTACTTGTAATTGTAATTAAACTTTTTCCAATTACTTGTAATGTGTAATTGAGCAATAACCAATTACAATTACTTGTAATTGTAATTGACCAATAACCAATTACTTGTAATTGTAATTGAAGTTTTGCCAATTAATTTAAATTTTGCCAATTACAATTACTTGTAATTGTAATTAAGGTATTACTAATTACAAATTACATGTAATTGTAAGGAACAAAATTCACAATTACAAGTAATTATAATTGGAAATTCTATAATTACAAATAATTGTAATTGGCAAAGCTTCAATTATAATTACTTAAAATGAAATTGTAATTGAAAATGTAGTCATTACCCCCCTAGTCTGATTACAGGGAGAATTCGTTCTTTATAGTCATCTGCAATGTAATTAACTTTAATTCGAGTGACCATAAACACTACTCCCTCTATCCTCCCTTCGATAACCTATTTTCACTGTTCCAACAAAATCAATTCAACCAAATTATAAAAAAGGATTTTAGTTATTTATTTTCTTTATCACAAATTAAACCAATCAATTGAGTATAATAAAAACATTTAACTTAAACTATTTAAATTACATCCAACTAAGATTTGAACGTCGACTTTCGTTTTTTAAGCTGCTGTATAAAAGCCACCCGAATATTGCAGCAATAATCTATACGAATAGAAAGTATAACATTAAATATAAAGAATAATAAAGAATTTCAACTTTTTCGAACACTTACCTCTCCAATGATCAGTAAAATGTTGACTATAGTGAATGTGAGCATTTTATCGGACAAATATTCCTCGAATTTTATTTGGCAACCTTCTGTGTAGATATTATCCGGAAAGGCACAATTGTGTTCCTTGCAACATGTTTTCGGTATTTCATGTTTTATCAGACGATAATCTTCTGTACTATTGACACCACAACAATGTAACTAATAAAATGTTCGTTAATCTATAAAAAAGAAACTTATCAAATTTAAATATCATTAATGTACTAACCCAATCTTCATAATAAGCCAATGCTCCTGGTTCTTTGTTTTCCTGCAGCCACAACTCATCAAAACCTTGCTTAACACTACCGGCTAAACCGTCTTGGGTACCATGTGATGCCATGCTTGTCAATAACAATTGTATCAATATTATTACTATCAATATCAAAACATACTGTAACGATAATTTTTTAAAGTTTTGAAATAATTTAAATAATATCTCATTTTGTAATTTTTATACGCACAATTATTAGTTTTCTCTTGGATTCATGTATGGCCGCCAAACAGCCGAATATTGCAATAATTAATATTATGACACCAAGTGTAATTATGACTCCTCCAGCCACATTTTCTCCATGATCGACTTTGTTTTCTGCACCGCTTATTAATATAAATATGCCAAAACCAATTAATATCAAACCCAAAACCTAAAAAGAAAGAGAAAGATATTAACAGAAGTAAATAGAAATCAGTCAAACTTTATACAAAACTTGTAAGAATCTTGAATTTGAAATTCAAAGACCAACAATGTATCTGAGTTCCCAAAGTAAAGGACCTCGGGAATGTAAATCAGCAAGAGTGTTATATTCGGCTACACCGAATCATATACATACATACAGTGAATCAACTAAGTTTTTTGCCTACCTTTTTTAAGAGAATTTTGTTTTTTGTTCATAAATAAAATTCGAAGAAATAGAGAGTAAATTTATGTTTTCCAATTAAAAATAGAGATTGTGTAAAATGGGAAAACCATGAAAAAAATATTAAAATACAAATTTTGGTGCATTTGTTGTTGCATTTTATTATTTTTCATCAGAATTTGCATGTCAATAAAGTATTTTGCATTTTTAGAATTCGAGTTAATTTCGTTGGGTTTTTCAAATTATTTTTTAATTACTTTTTGGAATTTATTGTTTTATTGTTAAAAGGTCGCGTGTTAAGTATTTTTCAATTGCAATTTGCAAAAATTATATCCTCATTGTGTGAAACTGTGAAGTTATTTGCCTTAAAAATGTTTAAAGGAAAATAATGAGCCAATTTCAATATAAAAAATTAGTTTAGATTTCTAGAACAAGTGTAAATCAATGAAATATAATTATGAGATGTTTAATCAATATCATTAAAAAATATAAAATAGAGTAATTGATGAAATGGTCCAAAGAATTATTAGAAAAAACGCACTGAGAGCTTTTTCAAATTCTTTAACTGCCAAAGGGAGGCGACTTGTATCCAAGGAAAACGATTGGATATCTGATTTATCTTCTCCATAATCCATATACAAACTAGGAGGTCTAAACTGACCTAAGGTTGCTTGGAACCAATGTAAAGTGAACTGTCGTGTAGTACAGGAAAAATACTTAATTTAGATATTTTAAAATAGAGGTCGTTATCATCACCTAAGGTCAACAAAAGCAATATTTTTCAGCTAATATATACACTCATATATATTTAGAACCCAAATCAAGAATAACTAGCCAGATCCAAATACGCCTACTGTATCTTATTCATAAAATAAAGCATTTAAAATATGAGGTTGAAAATCAAGATTTTAGCATGTAATAGTTCTATAGTGGTATATGGTGATGTCCCCATACTTAGAGTGGCTAGAATGGCACTTAGTGTTAGATATATTGAATAAGAATCAATATTCTACAATTCTAAATAAAATTTACACAGTATTCCCCAAATAGATGGGGTTTCCGTAATGTAGTTTTTGTTTATCAATACAAAATGACCAAAAATCCAGATTATTTTTGTTGTAATATATAGATTTATACCCCACTAAACATTTTTTCTAGGTCCAAATCCATTGATTATCTAATATATCATGTATCCAATTCAAAATTACTTATTATTTTCGAAATTAAATCAAAGAAACGATAGATTTCATGTTAAGTCAAATATTTTTAAATTCTTATAGGTATATAGGATAATAAATCGGTTAAGAAATGTCCAAATTTAGTCGTTCCAATACTATAATATCTAAAAAATTTTATTCTAATAAATAGGGGTAATAAAAACACTAAATTTTATAAAATAATGCATCAATATTAAAAAAAAGAACAAAAAACCTAAAAAGCAAAATACTTTATTGACCTAAAAAATTAACAAAACGTTCACATTTTATCAAAAATCTCGTTAATTAATATCACGATTTTACTCTTTATGGTAGAAAATTATAATATAAGATATTCTTTAAAAAATACAACAAACAAATTGCTTTATTTTTCTAAAAATAATTGTTCAGATAAAGTTTTTTCTTAAAATTTATAAAATTTTACATAGGCAAATTACTTAATTGATTCACTGTATGTACATATATCCACCATCAAAATTTTTGTCGTAAAATCAACTGTTACGAAAAATTTGCACTTGTTATACAAAAGCATCAGATCCTTTTACGCAATACTATTTTGATGGGGGGTAATTCCCTCGGTAATTAAAAGTATTATATTAGAGTATTTATTTTTCACTGCTAGGTCAACGTGATTTTAAAGGGTTTATTTGGGGTCAAGTATAGACTAATCTTAATGAAACTTGGGTTAACGCTGTAATTTGTAAGCTAGTTAAGATCTATAAATCCATTTTCTGAAGGTGACGAACTAGAGACAAATACATAACAGTAAAATTCCTAAATATTTATAATGATCATAGTTATGGTTTTAGATAATAAAGCTACTTTTTCAATAAGATCAGGGATAAAGTATTCGACATAACTATGTATATGTTTAAACGATTATATAAAATAAATTTTGGATTGACCACCAGACCATCGGAAGATATGACTGAAAACACTCCACCACCGCCAAAACCGAAAAAAGTTCGAAATACTTAGGACCGTTAAGAGTAAAAAAAATTTCATGTCGAAATAAAGAAGACGTTGACACCAATGTAAAAGACATTAATGCTAAATCGTTCGAGGACAGCTGTTACAGAGAATATCCGCAATGCTGGAAAGACACTTTATAAAGTTTTCAAATGCGCACAACGTAAAAAGAATATGGTGAATATAGGAAAATCGTTTAAAAAACTGGCAAAAAAACTATAAACTGGCATAAATGACATATTGACGATACAAAAAATTCTATCTTAAACTCCTTTCCAAGCAGAATCTATGGTCGAAGACATTATTCTTCTATGAAGAAATCAGGTGGCAATCTTTGTACATGGCTGAGCCGGTCCATGTATAAGCACTTTGCTAAAGAGCTCGAGCTATCTAATCTCCTGCCAAGTGATCACGTTGAAGAAAGACAGGTAGCAACCTACCCCGACAGGCTGAAAAGTACCAGACGAATCGAAAGAGCGGGGTCAACGAAGACCCCAACATCGCACCCATTGAATCTATAATCTCGGGATCAACACCGAGATAGAGCAATAGGTATATGCACAATCATTAGCGACGCCGTAGCATCCTCTAACGATCCGCACAGGTAGTATTAACAACCATTAGTCGCGCAACCACATCACGAGGGTCTGTTGCTTCGGCAAAAGCATCTAGGGACAAATTAGATCGAATAACTTGACAAGACTTATTTCAGTGGCCATTAGGACCTACTGCTTTGTGTTAAGCATGATTAGAGTAAACTCCAAACACACCCAACAATGAAGGACAATTGCCGATAAAACGAAGATTAAACATCGTCACCAAACCGTTCAAAAACCATCAATCATACTTAAGTATGCAGCAAAACACCAACCCATCAACCTTCATACATCATCCATCTTCTCCAACCCTTCCGTCTCTTCCGACACTTCCATCTAACCCAACACTTTCATCTCTTCCATCAGATACATCATATCCAACAGTCAACACATAATTTTAATGATCAATCATTGCATTATCAGCTCATTCCCAAAATTTTATTCCACAGCCTACCCTATGCTTTGTACCGCTCTTAACGACGATAACAGAAACTTGTCTTGAAAAGATATTATGTACTTCACCGAGAATTAAACCAAACCAACTGCGATTTTGGGTATAAACCACAGCCACCACGTGGATCCCGAAGGAACCTCAACCAACTGACCAGACATGGCAAAGTTCTGTGGGCAACTGGCCACCCGTAGTACCAGATTATGTGGTTCTCTGGTTAGACCCTATTTCAAGTTATTCCAAGGGAAGGCCGAGGATACATTTGATCATCACCAGTAGGTATTTGTAGCATCTCTATACCCCGGGACTGCTATACACCATGATGGAGTTTTTCATAAAGGAAACATGCCCCGGGGGACCTGAACATGACGATTAGCTCGGCACTACCAGGAGTTCTGCCTCCACTATATATAGGCAAATATCTTTAGTACTTTGAACACTGTTTCTTGACAGGCCGTCTTCCAAATCACTACTTTAGATTCTAGACTTATGTCCCCGTAATAATGAAATGTGTATGTACTATATATAAACTGTGGCACCAAAAGAGGTTTTTCTACAGCCAAGAGGCAATTGTTTTTTTTACGGACCAGCACTCCAGGTCAAATAACCTTAAATGGGTGTGTTCTTGATAAGAGTAGTGTGCTAAGTAAAAATATACAGGTATCGGGAATGACTGCTTCCTTTGGTACTTGAAAAATGTGTTTAGTCCATCGGACATCGTACTGTATTTACATGCCCAGAACATCAGGAATTTCCGATTCCTTAATATTTACACCATCCATATGTAAAAACAACTTTGAGGCTTGTGGGCGTTAAAATCTACGGCACTGCTGTTCTGTCTTCTGGCGAGTGAGTGATTTCCTCTTCGCTTTTTGGATTTGACTCCTCAAAATTACCAGTTCTTGCTAATGATGCTTTGGGTACCGTCTTTGGTGTTTTTGTGTCCTTATCGGGGCCGGTTTTGACATCCCTTTCAATCGGCCCAATTTTGGAAAGGGCAGCTGCATCTTCTCTTGGCGAGTTAGTGGTACCTTCCTCGCTTTTAGGATTTGACTCCTTATCGTTATCAGTACTTACTACTGATGCTGTGGTCTTAGGTATTTTAGTGTCCTTTTCGAGGCTTGTTGTAACAGCCCTTCCAATCGGCACCTTCTCAATTTTCAATATGACAGCTTTAGAGGCGAAGTAAGCCCTACCTTTATTCTTGGCAAGACTAGCCATAGATTTTTGGTCGATACCAATTACAAATAAAGTTTCCTCAGGTTCTTCTTTCCTGTAAAAGACGACCCATTTTCCCACGGCCAGCTCAGCATTTTGACCACCAAGAATTTCAAGTATACATTCATTACCCAGTTTACTGCCCCATCCTTTTATGTAGACAGTGGACTTTAAGAGCACCGGAAGCTTGCTCTTCTTTGCCAGTCCCAACTTAGCGTCGTCCCAGGGAGGAGGGTTACTTTCCACTAAGTTATTTAGGGTGCTAACACATTGGTGAGATGCCAACCTCATCAACATCACCTCCCTGCTGAACTCGCAGCTCACGCTCTCTATTGGTTGTTTGCCCTTTGAAGCGATTGCGTGGTCCACTATCTTATTGTTCACCAGATCTTCTACCTTACTCTGTTGGTCTATTGGAATTTTGCCTGTCGGATTACCGACATCATAAACTGCATAGCAGAGATCGTCCCGGTGTCTTCTTCTGGCAATTTTGGCGTAAGATGGCGGCTCTTTTCCTTTTCCACTGTCTATCCTTTTCCTCGCTTTTCGGGGCTTTTTGAGATTCCCGTGTCTTTGAGGTTGATTTCGCTGACGTGGTCATCTTCGGAATATCTATCTTGGCGTTGTCACCCCTACCCTCAGGATTCTGACTTGAGGTTCCTTTGAGTGAAGTATGGCTTGGCTTCGACTGTGTATTAGAAGACGGAGAGCTCTTTTTCTTCTTAGGTTTATTCTCAGTTATCAACTGTTCGGGACACCTGATCCTCTTTGCCTCAGATCTTGTGAGAGAGTCCGATTTTTCCTTTGGAGTGTCGTTGGATTGACTAATTATGATTTCCTGAAGCATCTTTTTCTTCCTCCTTTATGCTCCAGATAGTCTTTTCTTAGTAATAGGTAGTTTAGCTATACTATCACTCACCTGTTTCACCATTTGCTTTCATCCTTTTTGGGATTTGCTATAATGGTGTTGTTATTATCATCTGAGGATTCAGAGTCGGAACCCTCACCTATATTTAAAGGCTGAGGTAGCTTAGAGCTCTCACCGAGTACATCCTTCTCTTTCACCACTATGTATTTGCCAATGAGATGCTGTACAATTGACGCATTGTCCGCCACGGAGACCCACCTCCGTAGTAGTATTTTGCTCACGCAGGATGACGATTGCAGCATGACGTGACTCGCTAGTGGATCAACACTTGCCGCCGGTACTGGGTTATTTAGGCCCTGCACCGTAACTTTCATATTTTTATTTTCCATAATGTTTTTTCCAGTTTTTTGGTCCGCGGGGAATATAATATTCCCAGGTGATGGACAATCTGCCCTCCCTCAGCTTGAGTCAAAACTAAAAACTGGGGGAGGACAGATGATCCATCCGCTCGGTAGGAAAAAAACGGGAAAACTCCCCCATTTACTAAGTGGAAGGGAACTCAAGGAATTGAACCGACGATACGACGGATGAATTAAAAATATAGGTTCAATCTCATACGACCACTTGAAATAATAAGAATGTGGGTAGAACCACCGTTAGGTGACCCTAACGAGAGAAGGATGAGAAGCCTCCAAAATATGAGTAAGTTTATGGTAAGTATGATGGAAGTTATTCAGAATGGACACTCAGTATTAAAAGCGATATTATATAAAATTGAAAAAGTATTCGGAATGCAGAGAAGGTCATTGCTAGGTTTTGATCGAAAATAATTCCAAATATCTTAGGAACGAACAATTATTTGTTCGAGTCCTATAGAGGCCTAGTTGTATTTCTTCGGATCCAATGTAGTAGAGGGATATACTCCTTTCAAACTAAACCAGCATACTTTATTTAGGTAACGGTAGTTAAAAAAAAAAAACATAAAAAAACAGTGGACAGAAACTAAATTTTGGATAGACATAAAAATTGGTACGATTTTGGATTTTTTTCTAATATCTCTATCCAAACAAATACAGTAGTTTTCCGATTTAACGACCATTCAATTCTACGAACATCGCATTTAACGAACAAGCTAATTTTTCCTATTGACTACCTTAAATAACGAACAAAACTTGTTTTTTGTACTCTGTTTAACGAACTAATAAAAATATTATTATTTAAATGAAGATAAAATGACATTTATCAAAAATAACAAATAACCTAAGTTGTAGCGGTGCTTTTATACCCAAAACTGTAACACATTCTGGGTTCTTATTAAATTTTATTTCGATGTAGCTATGTCCGTCCGTCCTTCAGATAATGACTTTAACGCTCATTACTCGCTTAACAATACGAGTACGCCGATGAAATTCGATTCAAACATGTTCTATACTAACCGAAATTTCTAACAAATTTTATGGGAATCGGTCCATAATTGACCTTACCCTCCATATCAGGCCCCCTTAAGAAAATTACTTCAACGCTCATTACTCGCTTAAAAATACGAGTATAGCGATGAACTTCGAGAAATAACTTTAACGCTCATGACTGAATTAAAAATACAGCGATGAAATTCGACACAAATATGGTTTGAAGGTGGGTATATAAGATTCGGAATTTTGTGTTTTGTGCTATTTTTATAAAAAAAAGAATTAATTTTTATAAAATACATTTAAAAAATATTCTATGTACCTATTTTTAATTATTTTCCTACCAAAAACCCACGTTTTAGTTAGTACTGCATATAACGAACTTTTCAATTTTACGAACAGGCCTGACAACATATGGGTTCGTTAAATCGAAAAACTACTGTATTAAATCTTTTTTAAAATAAAACGTAAATATTTACATATAAAGTGTGAAAATGTTTATATCTAAAGAAAAAAATATTCTCAATATTTTTGATTTTTTTTAATTTCCATTTGCAAACTTACCGTAAATATAAAATTTAAAAGCAACAAAATGTGTTTAATTGTGGTAGCAGCCAGACCCATCTTGTTTATTTCATCAATTTAGAAATTTTTCATAATTTTCTACACACTTCAGCTGCAAATATTAAAATTTCAAATAAATTTCTTGTTAAAACTAATTAAACTAAAAATATTGAAAATGACGTAATTTTTGTTTCAAAAACTTTTTATCTGTCTGATCTGATGATGATGCACTCGAAATTACTTTTATTTTTTCAAAAACAAAAATATAATTGCAAATTGCTTAAATATAAAATTAATCATTTCATGTTTTCACTTTTATTTTAAAAAAAGTATTTACGAAAATTTAAAAATACTCATTAAATAGATACATATTTATGAATGAGTTGACAATTTCAAAATCAACATAAAAATTACATGCTTAACAAATTGGTCTGCTTGTGCTGTTGTTTTGAATATTTTCTTTTTTTGTTAAATATTGAAATATTAAACTGTTCTGTTTCACAAATGAAAATTGACTGAGATTTTTTTATTTTTTTTGTTTTGTTTCGAAAAAGATTCTATCTAATATTTATTTTTTTTTTTGCTGCCATAAAATGCTCCATGGATATCTAATATATTTTTGCTCATTAGTATCTCGTATCTTTAAAAATATCGGCACACTTACACAAATACTATGAATTGTATACAAATCGTCATCTCTCATGCAATTTTGTTCTTTCTATTTAGTTCAGTTGACTTTTGTACAAATACAACAACAATAATAATAATAACAAAATGTTCATTGAGATCTTGGTTCTACTCTCACCTCCTACTACAACAATTTCCATTTGTTGCTTTTGTTGTTAATTTACTATTCGTAAAAGATAAGTGGGTTTTTGTTTTTTTTTTATTTGTTGTTTATTGTTTTGGATGTTTTGACCATATTTTTCTGAGTTGTTTCATATTTGTAGCAAGTTCAAACGTATATTTGTGAAATAAATCATTAACCTACGCGATCTGGTTACAGACGTATTATTATTCATTAGGGAGCTTCTTTTTTACTTTTTTCTAAGTGAGTAAATTGCACTACCACGAGATTACTAAAATATTAGTACTGTCATTGGTTCTGAAGTTTATCCAGCAAAATCTTTACTTACCCGGTAAATAGGCCAGTAAGATTGGAGCAAAGTGTAAGTACTTACTTTTTGGGTAAATAACCACTTATTTTTTTCGACGATAATGACCAAAAAACTTCTATTTGCAAATGTGCTTACCCGACTTTCCCGCATTTAACACCTACTTTACAGTCATTTTCTGTGTTTATTAATCTATTATCTTACTCAATGCTCCATAACAAGCTATTTTATCGTGCTTTTTGGAATAGTTTTAAAAATCCAATTTAGTTTCCGTTCGTTCGTCTTGTGCCGTGTATTACATTTGTCTCGGGAAGGATGTATTTTGGGTTAAATCAGTTCATTCTTTCACCTAGTCCCCATGAAGCTGTGGAGCTGATAATTATGTCAAATATACTAGTATCTCTACAAAAACGATATTCTTTCTCTATCATCAGGTCACAATTATTACCTAATTTTAAAAGTGTAGGATATCATATGGTCAACCAAGTCCGACTCACTCACTTGTTGTTTACTATAAAAAATTTAGCCTTATAATCATAATTAATAAATCTCCATTCATAAAATCCATAGAAACGTAAACATTGTAAACAGGTTTTATTTATTTCTACCATTTTTAGGTACCAACAAAGTTTTACATTTTAAAAATTTAAATTAAAACTTATAACTTATAGTATTTTATAAAATAACAACACATATTCATTTAAATTAAACAAAAAATCAAATTATTTTAATTTAATATTCTCAAAAAAAAAAAAAATTAACCTAAAAGCTACACATTTTATGTTACTCTCATTTCGAATGAAAGTATGTAACTCCTTTGCCAAAGCTTAGGTAATATTAAAAGATTTTTTAATTTTTTTGATTTTTCGATAAACGAATAAAACGGTTTTTTACTTAAAAAAAAATATCGGTTTCGACTACATTTGCTTTTTGTCGAAGGGATACTTAAATCTTCAGTTCTAGGTCAGTTCTATTTCAGTTCTAGTTCAGTTCTAGGTCAGTTCTAGTTCAGTTCTAGTTCTAGTTCAGTTCTAATTCAGTTCTAGTTCAGTTCTAGTTCAGTTCTAGTTCAGTTCTAGTTCAGTTCTAGTTCAGTTCTAGTTCAGTTCTAGTTCAGTTCTAGTTCAGTTCTAGTTCAGTTCTAGTTCAGTTCTAGGTCAGTTCTAGTTCAGTTCGAAAGCTGTATGAATATTGTAGGGGAAAAAAGGGAGAACTATCGATAGTGGGTATGGCATTTCCTACACCTAATATTGCTAGTCAATACCAAATGGCGTAAATTTCAGAAACTATAACACTTACAGTTCCCAATATTGTGCGATAAATTTGTCAATATGATAATTTTTTGTGAAAATAGACGGACAGAAAATAGTTGTAATGTTAATGGGCAAATTATCAATAGCGGACATGTTACCTTTCATACAAAATAAATAAGTAAGATAATATAGTCCGGCGAGGTCTACCATAGCATACACTACTCCAGTTATAAAAATAAAATGTGATTTAGTTTTCATAATAAAGCATTTAAGTTGAATTGTACCTTGTCTAAGATATAAATACTTAAGCCATTTATTGTTGAATAAAATTGTGGACAGTTAAGTCATATTTTGAAGGGGGCTTTGTATAGGGAATAGGGTCAAATGATGCCCCTTCATTATAAAATTCATGAGGGTCATCAAGGCTAGTATAGAACTTGGTTTTGCAGCTTTTTATCGAGATACGAGTATATTAAACATAATTATGAACTTAAAATCCCTATTCGAGGGGTTCAGTTGTATGGGGGCTATGTAAAATAATGGACCGATGTTAACCATTTTCCATAGACTTCGTCCTTGAGGTCATGTAAAAAGTTCAAAGTTCATTGAATTACCTTCAAAATTGCGACCTGTAGTTTGATTACAAGGTTTATACCCAATAATTGTATTTATATTATTTTTAGGGTAGCGAAGCACACCGGGTATAGCTAGTATTTTATATACAAGTAAATCAAATCGTGAGCAACACAAATTAAAGCACACTACATTAGTTTCAATTCCGAGTACTCTGAAACTTGTGTGTGGTAGAATGTTTTAGCCCCGAAATTACGCAGATTTTTCGAACTCTAAAAATAATTGTTGCGAAAATTGGCCGTCTCTACCTCTAGACTTATACTTTGAGTTATATAAATTCATTCTGGAAAATTTTAGAGCGATAGAAACACGTTAACTGGTGGAACCATGATATGAAGGCGAAAACGATTTTTATATAATAAAAATAATAAATTGGAATATGTATGTAATTATCGTTCCAATAAGTTATAAAAGACAGAAATTTGTTAAAAATTGTAAAAGTTATCACAAATTCCTTCGATAATTTAGTGTTACAAAACATTTAAATGGGAAATATTAAAAAAAAAAAAAAAAAATAGAAATTTATACCGTAAACCGTATTTGGGTATAGCCATAAATGGGAAACCCTTCAGACGACAGTTTTAAAACTTCAGTTTTAAACTTTTAACAATTTTGTTAAGCAAATTTTAAAATTTTAAGAAATGATCATATATGCGCTCATTTTCTGATCATAAATGATGCATTCGTCGGAAGAAAATGGTATCCTACGCGCGACTCTTCTAAATGAATCTTTTATGAGCCCCACTTCTGATCAATTATGTCTAATTTTTTAATATTTTTTGAGTCATTAATGAGCCGAATAACTAGTCGTTTTAGAGTTATTTCCGAATCATATTATAGTCATTTTTAAGTCTTTTCTGAGTACTTTTTATGTTTGTTACAGCAAATACAATACAACAGAAAACTGTTTTTAGTCTTCCGACTGCGCGAAATATAACTACATACAAACTAAATTCATAAACAATCATATTTCAAACACCTGGATCACCTATTTATGATTGGTATACATTTTGTTATTGTTTTTCAAATAAATCAGATTTTAAATTATTTAGACTTAGTTTAGTGATTAGTCGCCCAACTATCTTCCGTAGAAGATCATTAAACATGTAAAATTATTATAATTAAATCATAATATAATTTCAATTTTCTTGACAGAAAATCGACAAAAATATCACACAAATTCAAATACTTATACATTTAATTTTATAAACGAAACATCAACTCATTTTAGGCCACACAAAATGTTTTGCTAACTCTTCCAAAAGAGTCTTTTCTGAGCCCCATTTCTAATCAGTTTCGACTTATTACAAACAAAAACAATTACATAAGGAACAATTTTAGATCTTCCAACTGCTTGAAATATGACCATAAAATAAGTTTTCAAAACCATCATATTTTAAACACCAGGATGATCAATTTATGATTGCCATACATTTTGTTATTGTTTTTCAAATATTCGGGATCATTTTCGAGTCATTTTTTAAGTGCTCAACTTATTAATCACTTTTAGGTCATCAAAAGGATTCAAAAATGACTCAGTTTACTAATTAATCATCCAACAATCTTCCAAATGCTAGCTGGGATGTAATATTGGGAAAATTTCTTGAAACCATAATGAAATATTTTTTTGTTTTCAACCGATTTAAATGAATCTAAGGATATATATATAATGAAGACCCGTATTTATGATGACATCGAAAAAACTCGAAATTAACCCTTAAACTTAAATATATTTTTATAATTATATAATATGTCCGTAATAAATGACCAAAATATTCGATGCCATTTTGTGAGAAAATAATTGGTGATAGAGAAAAACAGATATCAGATTTGGTTTCATTAATATCCGTCGAATTGGTTTCAAAAGTTTTCACAAACCTTCATTTCGTTGGCCTATGTAATTATTTAATAATATTTAAACACAGATTTTTCAGTTTTTTGTTATATTTTTAGGTACACAGTTTTAAGGGAGATAAAAATATAAAATAAATATGTATAACAATATAAATAACGAGCATTATAATGGCTTTAAAAATATATTATCCCCTTCTAATAAATGTTTACATATATTTTAATAAATGACGTTTTAAATATTCGTGCGAATCATTTTCTATTCCTTTTTTAAGTGCGCAACTGATTAATCGTAATATGACCATCAAAGACGAAATTCGTATATTTAGGTACTTAGTTTATTAGTAGATTAGTCATCAAGCTATTTTCCAAATGCTGGCTGGTAATGAAGCATATAATCGAGTTATGCAACTTAATCATAAGAAGGGTTTATTAACAATATTACAGCTCACTATGCTTTGAACGTCGTGTTCTATTATTTAGACTGCTATATAAAAGCCAACTAAATATAAAAGATGTAATCTATTGAAGAGAAATGTGTAAATTATGATATTTTTTAGCAAATAATAAATAAATGTATGGGAATATCATTACTTACTTCTGCAAATATCAGCAAAATTATAACAATATTGAATAACGATACTCTGTTGTGCATATATTCCTTATATTTTGATTCACAGCCTTCTTTGTAGATATTTTCGGGAATAGTACAATTTTGATCTTTGCAACAAGATTTTGGTATCTCATGATCTATTCGTCGATAATCTTCGGTACTATTGACACCACAACATTGTAACTAATTAGAGAAAATTGTATGTTATTAAAGAAATTTCATATGAACTTAAATGTAATGCAATTTGAATAAAATTTTATTATATACATTTTTGCATAAATATATAAAATATTTTAATTACTATATACTGTACCTCGATATAATTGATTTTATTCGTTCATCAATATTTACCGTATTTTCAAATTCGGCTAATGCGCCTGTTTGATAGCTTTCCATCAACCACAGCTGATCAAATCCAGTGTCAACACTATCGGATGTATCATTTTGTTGACTAGTCACTCCAATAGTAAATAATAATAATTGTACCAATACTAAAATAGTTAATGCTGAAAAATACTGTTATAAAAAAAATCAAAATAATTATAAATATTTTAAATAATTGCAAATATTTTCTATTTATACGCACAATTATTAATTTTGTTTTGGATTCACGTATGGTTGCCCAACAACCGAATATTGCAAAGAGTGTTACGATGACACCAACCGCAATTATGATTAATCCGATAACTTTTATTATAACGGAAACAAAAATTGTAACGAATATAGCTTCCATAAGATTTTCTTTATGATGAAGTTCCAGATGTTCTGCGGTTAAAAAATATACTATTCCAATAAATATCAATATCAGTCCTAAGACCTAAAACAAAATAAAAACAAGTAAGAAATTATAGTCGGGCGTGGCCGACCATATAATACCCTACACCTTTGTCAAAAATATAATGTGATTTATTTGCCATAATAAAGCATTTAAGTTGAATTGTACCTTGCCTTAGATATACATACTTAAGCCGTTTATTGTTGAATAAAATTGTGGACATTTAAGTGAAATTTTGATGGGTGCTTTTCATAGGGGCTAGGGTCATATGAGAACCTATTATTATGGAATTCGTGGGGGTCATCAAGTCTAGTATACAACTTGGTTATTGCAGCTTTTTGTCGTGCCATTTGTGCCAAATTTCATTGAATTATCTCCATAATTACCGTTATTTGTTAAGTCGTTTATTGTTGAATAAAATTGTGGATATTTAAGTGAAATTTTGATGGGGGCTTTTCATAGGGGCTAGGGTCATATGAGAACCTATTATTATGGAATTCGTGGGGGTCATCAAGTCTAGTATACAACTTGGTTATTGCAGCTTTTTGTCGTGCCATTTGTGCCAAATTTCATTGAATATAATAGGCTTCGTCTACGGTACCATAAAAGATCATGTGCCAAATTTCATTGAATTATCTCCAAAATTGCGACCTGTAGTTTGATTAAAAGTTTTAAAAGCCCTATTCGGGGGTTCAGTTGTATGGAGGCTAGGTGAAATAATGGACCGATGTTAACCATTTTCAATAGGCTTCGTCTACGATACCATAAAAGATCATGTGCCAAATTTCATTGAATTATCTCCAAAATTGCGACCTGTAGTTTGATTACAAAGTTTAAAAGCCCTATTCGAGGGGTTCAGTTGTATGGGGGCTAGGTGAAATAATGGACCAATGTAAACCATTTTCAACAGGCTTCATCTACGGTACCATAAAATATCATGTGCCAAATTTCATTGAATTATCTCCAAAATTGCGACCTGTAGTTTGATTACAAGTTTTAAAAGCCCTATTCGAGGGGTTCAGTTGTATGGGGGCTAGGTGAAATAATGGACCGATCTTAACCATTTTCAATAGGCTTCGTCACTGGGGCAATAGAAGATCATGTACCAAATTTCATTGAATTATCTTCAAAATTGCGACCTGTAGTTTGATTACAAGGATTACAAGCCCTATTGGGGGGTTCAGTTGTATGGGGGCTAGGTGAAATAATGGACCGATCTTAACCATTTTCAATAGGCTTCGTCACTGGGGCAATAGAAGATCATGTACCAAATTTCATTGAATTATCTTCAAAATTGCGACCTGTAGTTTGATTACAAGGTTTACATGGACGGACGGACGGACGGACAGACGGACAGACGGACGGACAGACGGGCGGACATAGCTAAATCGACTCAGAAAATGATTCTGAGCCGATTGGTATACTTTAAGGTGGGTATAGGACCAATATTATTGTGCGTTACAAACATCAGCACAAACCCAATATACCCTCCCCACTAAAGTGGTGTAGGGTATAATTAAAGTCTATAGCACATGCATGTAAGTAATTAAGATCTAATTTGTTTCATCATTTCATATACAAATAATAATTATTTTAGTATTTTACAAATTGTTGGCTAATTGTTTTAAATAGTAATATTAAATTACGCATCACCTATCATTAATGATGTATAATACATATTTTAATTTATAATTAATGCAATAATGAGTCACTATTTTTTCAGAACCTTATAAAATTAAAAAAAACCCAAGTTAATTATACAGGCCCTCAAATTTTTAACCCAGAGACCAATTGAAACTTACCTCAGAAAAACCCCCGTTTTTGGACACATTTGAGATAATGTACAACCGCGAATAGATCTTATAAAATCTGTTTTGCCATTTGAAAGTTCATGTTATATGTATATTCATCCTTCATCGAGATATCTAAACCTGAAGCTTGGGACAACCATAAATTGACAAAAACTGGATTATTTACAACAAAGGCAATATATCTCTAAGAAAGAAGAAACTCCAAAAAAGTCCTCTGATAGGTTAGTATTCTAGTCATGTAGACCGGAGGTCGTGTGTTCGATTTCCAGCTGAGGCTCGATATAGGCCTAGGTGTATTTCTTCGGATTTGATGTAGGTATGCTTGTATATACATATGTCCTTTCAAACTATGGGCAAGGTTAGTACTATGTCTATTGTATAGACACAAATTTAGACAAATGTTTAGCTCTATCGTTCGAGAACTACCAGACTTAGAGGGGGTCAAAGTTGGACATTTTGGTCATACAAGGGTTTATTTAAATTTAGTAACATTTTAAGTCGAAACCACAATAGTTGCAATATTTGTAAAAAGCTGATTTTTGTAACCTTTGACCCCCAATATCTCGCTTAGCGTACATGGGATTAATTGAGACTTAGGACCTGAATTAAGATTACAAGAATAAACCCAGTGCCAACTTTCACTTAGATATCTAAAATTCCTAACTTTGCTAATTTTTTGACTACAAGACCGGCATAATCCAAAAAAGGTCGTTCCGGGAAAAATGGCTTTGAAATGTTACTGATATTTTACTATTTCTTAAACAACCTTTAAACAAAACAGGGGATTTAAGATATTTAACCAGTTTCAGATAGTTTACAACAAAAACTCGATCTCATACCGAAAATAATAGACATACATATTTGAAATTTTGGTAAACCTATATGAAAGACTTTGAAATGACGCATGTTTTGTACCCCTTGGTTCAAATAATCCGAATTTTGGATTATGCCAGTCTTGTAGTAAATGAGCTACATATATCTACATTAGGGAAATAACTAATTTTTGCAAAATTTTTGGCATACCACCACGTGATGGCCAATGTTGTATAATTAATATTCATTAATAATTTTTATTTTAATAATATTTTTTTGAGTCATTTGGAAACAAAAACATCACGCACCAACAACAATTTCTGAAATAAACCAACTATTACTCCTTTTTACCCATTTCATCTACTAAACATTCGAGTTTTCAAAAATATTGAACCTAGAAACATGGAATTATGCATATAGAGCCCAGAATATGTGAGAACATATAAAATGGTACTATTTGGTACTTTTTCGTTCTGTAAGTGAGAATCTATAAAATGGGACTTTTCGGTACTTTTTCGTTCTTCAAATTTTTAATTTTTATAATATTGAACCTAGAAATATAAAATTAAGCATGTAAAGCCCGGAGTGAAAGAGATTCTATAAAATGGGGATTTTTGGTACTTTTGTTTACACATCATGGTGAAGGATATATAAGATTAAACACAGCCGAATATAGAACTCTTACTTGTTCTTATAATATGATGAGTTGTTCTCTGATGACAAACGGCAAAATTAGTCTTAATGGAAAATATATGAAATTGACAAACTTATATTGTATATTAAAATTTGAAATTGCTTAATTAATAATAGTTAATTTCAAATCTTTTTTTTTTTGTATTTTTTTCTATTTTTAATTATAATTAATTCAAACAATAATTATTATTTGAATCAAAAATGTTATTATAACAAAAATATAAATTTTAAAATTTCAGTTATTCTCTTACCACAAATATAAAATTTAAAAATAATAAAATTTTTTTAATCGTTGAATCACTCAAACCCATTTTGTTTATTATTGTTTTTCAATTCAAAAAATCTATTACTTTCAATAATCTAAAAACATGAAAATTGACGTAAGTTTTTAATCTGATGCATGTATGTAGATACGTAAATGCATCCACCAGAAGAAGGAATTTGTTGAAAAGAATAATGCGCAAATGGAAATTTTGTCACTTGTAGTTTTCACGTTTATTATAAAAATCTACTCGAGAAGAATTTCTTTTAATAATTCTTAAACCGGCACCAAATTTAGTTTGAAATTTATTTTTGTTTTCAATTTGTGAGTTAAACAATTGTTGTTTTTAAATTGTGAGTTAAATAGTTTTGTCCTAAGCGCATTTACAAGGTGGTGACTATTGCACAAAAACAACAAATGTTTTTAAACTATGTGCAATGCTGCCACGATAGTTTTTTGCTAACATTTTTCACAACGAAGCAAATACGAATTTTGCATGTGTTTAATAACAAAAAAGAATTGTCAAGTATGATTCCAAACATGAAAGATACCAATCACTTTAAAAGTTGTATAGAAATCAGAAAATTATTTATATAAAATATTATCTAATATGCATTTATTCATTGCTAAATTTAAACAATGTATTTAAATATACTCTCATTCATATGTATTAATCTGGCAGCTTTGATAATAGCAACTCTATTACATAGCAAACTTAACCACAACAATATGTTTTTGTTTTTAAAAAGTCAAACTAACCTGTCTATGTTTTTGTATTGTTTTTGCTTTTGTTGCAGCAAATGCACATGCACTTATAGTAGTTTCATTTTAAAACGAATGACATATACAGTGTGGTTAATTTAGCGACTTTTAAACTACAATTCACAATTTATTGTAATGCAAAATGTATTTATAATTTAAGTTAAAATATTTTATATCTTAAACCTTTTTATTTAATTTATTACTTTCGTTTGTTACTGAAATTTGCACTAGTTCTGTAGGCCCAATATGCTGATATATTATTTTTGAAAATTTCTATATTATTTGAAACATAAAACCAAGGACCCGAAAACTTTATTTTCAATCATAAAATATAAAAAATATATTTTCCAATCAATATAAAAACAGTTTTTTTTCAAACTCAAACACATATTTGAAAATTGTGAATATTGCATTAAAAGAACAAGATTTAATTTGCTGTAGAGAAAATCAGGTAAAACTTAAAATTTTTGTTTGCAACTATTTAAGTGTTAAAAAGACAATCGCTGAGGATCTTGTCAGTTTGAATGACGATAAGGAACACGCTATATGCCTTGTATGTGACAAGGTTTTAAAATTTCATTTGGGAAATGTTAAAAGACATGACCAAAAAACCCTAACAAGGATTTTGTTATGCTAAATTCGATTGTACTTCCGTCATCGTCAAAGAAAGAAAAATGGTATCGGTACTATTAGAAATGAATACGGATGAATACCTTAAAATTGTAGGCAAAACAGTTTCGCAATTACATATGCCTTTTAGGTTCTTTGACCATGAAGTATTTCAAAAACTATTACAACCTTGGAATACAGCATATGATGTCAAATTCAATTCTAAAATAAAGAAGCCCCAACAGAATGGAATTTATTCTGATAAGATGGACCACACCGTCCACAAATCTGAAGCTCAATACTTCTACTTTATCAGTAGGATATATTATAACATAATAGTTAAAATAAAGAAATGTACAACACTAGATGGGATAGAGTACTCCAATCAGACTGGTCATCCCGTTATTCAACCAGGTTATAGTTAGAAAGATCAAGCCCCATCAAATCAATTAAAAAAAAAAAAGAAATCGATAAGAATAAAAAAACCAAAACATTTCGTTCTGAATTGACAGGTATTATGAAAAATATTAAAGTTCGTTATTGCCAACAGCATAATGTGACCAAAATGTTTCGTTCTAAATAACAGGTACATATATGCATATTTACCTCTATTCATACGACTATATCCCAAAGTTTATCTGTTGTACATTGTGCAGCTCATACACAGCAGTTGACATCATGGGATGCCATTAAAAAGATAAATTAACCATTGAGTTTGTTAAGGGAGGGCGTAAAGGCCATACGAAAAAAATGAGGAAGTTGCAAATCAGTCCTATTCCAACATTAGATAACAACACAAGATGGAGCTGCACCTAAAGTAAATATAGATAGGAAATTTGCCAATAATTTTGAAAAATGCTTCAAACCGTTTGCAGAAACAACAACAATTTTTGATGATTTTTAACAAACTAAAGTCATGTGGAGTGGCCTCCGGTAGGTTAGTGGTTAGTGTTCTCGATGAGGCACTGGATAAGGAGCGCACAACAGTCCAGATAGAGGCCTAGGAGTATATCCTCCTTTCAAACTAACTAACTAACTAAAGTCATTTGGAGAACTACATACATCTATTCCCACAGCCAAAGAAGATTATTTTGTCTATCCAATTGATGAAAGATATGAGAAATTGGAAAAGAAGTTTGCTGCTGCTTTGCTGCGGCAGGATGACTGCAGCACTGTTTTGGAATGATTAGAGCATTTTCAATATGGAGAAAACTTCGATTTAATTCCAACATACTTAATTATTGGAAACAAAAAAGTTAAAAAATTATGCTCTTGCTAAAATTGCTAAGGTAGCACTAGCAGCTCCAGCAATCCAAGTTTCTGTTGAAAGAGCTTTCAGTGGCTTGCATATTGTAATGACAAAGCTCAGAAGAAATTTAAGTCCTGAAAACAGAAGACGTCTTATTACTTAAACTTAATAAGAATAAGAACAATTTTTTTATTATTGAAAAAAAAAATTTAATAAGTTGGTATTCAAATCGGTTTCCTGATAAAAATTATTATTTATAAACCATATACATACAAATACTTGATAAATCGATCGATTATAAATATGTAAATGTATTTATATGTAATTGGCATCACTCAGTAACAGATGATAGAATCTGTATATTCGATAAAATGCCAAATGTAAAACCTGTAAACAAAGTGTAAGTAAATAAAAAAACGACATACAAAAATATCGGAAAATGGTTATAAGACAAGGATTTAATGTATAGCTTAATAAAACTATGAAATATAAAAGTTTGAAAAAAAGGAAAACTCATACATACTTACATATTTTTATAATACATGCATAGTTTACGAAAATAAAAGTTGTTTGCCTGTCGCTGGTTTCCCAGATGATACATTTCAGAAATAATATTTTCTTTATTTTTTTAACATTATCATATCGCTACTACAAGGTTGGCATAATCCAAAAAAGAGTGCTGCCCCAAAAACGGCTTTATATATTTTATGACTCTTTACAATTTCTTAAATAACTTTTAAGGAAATCATGGAAAAATTACATTGAAGTTATATATATTGGTAAGAAGGGCCAACCTGCTCTGGAACTACTAAGTTCACTTCAAGTTGATATTCATATTGATATCACTCTCGAATTTAGTAATACATATATGCCTTTCAACCAAATATTGTGATGTAGAACCAATCCGCTCCATACTCAATTACAAGAAATGGCATAACTACCAGTTATCTAACCTTATTATTTCCTGAACTTATGGGCCATTCCGCTCTGATTTTATTAATTACCTTCGATGATAAACTAATTAAGGAGAAGTTTATCAGTAGGACATACTATAACCTAATAATTAAAATAAAGAAATGTATAACACGAGATGGGATAGATTATTCCAATAAGACTGGTCATCGCGCCCTTCTATCAGGTTATGGTAAGAATGATCAACCGCCATCAAGTCAAGTGATAAATAGGGGAAATAAAAAAAAGTAATCGATGCATCGCTTTGTTTTGATGAGAGAATTGAACAGACATTTTATTATTTCTGAAATAATTTTAAATAATTTATCGGATTTCAAACATAAAACCAGAAAAAAAGGATATGGTTTAATATGGTTCAAATCTAGATTTAAACTAAATTTTTACTAATGAAATATGTATATGAAAAAGCGTAAATTTCTGGTTTAACGTTTACAGCAAATAAATCACCTTTACATCGAAAATAGTAGATATTTTTGATCGATGGTTTTAAGATTTATAAAATTTTTGAAAATTTCAAATCGGCCCTATGTACATTAGGGTGTCCTGTGGACCATTTTGTAGGAGGAATACTTCTAAAACGATACGTTGCAATGTTAAAATTAATACGAGAAAATTAAAAATAGTTTTTTTTTGAAAAGATCCTCAGTTCCCTACCAGCGATGAAAAATCTTGATCTCAGTACAATATGTTAAAAAAAATTGTTTGCAATCTTTTCGAATTGGGTGTTAAAAATTCCGTAATTTTGAGCTTATCGCGGGAAAAATAATTAATAATTATATGGGGCATATAAAAAATTCTGAAATAATCTAAACCAAATGTCAAACTGTTTTTTAAATACTTTTCTGTATGAACTAAAAATTACGAAATTTTTGAGACCCATTTCGAAAATATCGAAAATATTTTATTTTTCAAAAACAACTCTAAGGTCAGGATTTTCAATCGCTGGTAGGGAACTGTGGACCATTCCAAAAAAAATTTTTTTTTCTCCTGTTTAGTACATTTATACGCATCGATTGAGTGGTATTCATACATGAAATTCTTAAAAAGGCTGTTCTTCGGGACACTTTAATGTACATACAAATATTAAAAAGTAAATGTATTCTTAAATTAGGTTAGGTTGATAGGAGGATGTATAATATATCAAATCCGAAGAAATACACCTAGGCTACTATCGGGCCTGTTGTGCGCTCCTTATCATGAAAAAAGTTCACTGAATGAACTATTTTTCAGTGTTCAGAAACTCAGTTTCCTAAACGTAATTCCTAAGAATCTTCCAATCAGTGTTAGTCAGGAATGTTATTTCCGGAATAACATCATTTCCAAGATACTTGAATCTAACTTCGACGAATGCCTTTCAGTGGCAAAGAAAGTGCTCCAGAGTTCCGCTGTCCTCTCTACATGCTCTACATTCGTCTGAATCCGCTCGTCCAATTTAGCATAGATGTGCTCGTAATCCTGTGTGTCCACTCAGAATACGTACCATCTATTTGCAACAATTTCCTCTACGTGGTAGTTGAACTCGATCCCAATATTATTCTTAATAATATGAACTCGAACAAATCAAAAATTTAATATTATTTTTCTTTTTAACTTAATCATAATCAAAATGTTTATTCTACCGAATTTTATAAATAAAAATAAGTATGTAAATAAATAATTTATAATTAAAAATAATGATATCTATTAGATTTTTGATATATACAATACTAATTTCAAATAAAAACATTATGGTCCTTATTCATAACAATTTATCAAAATTTTATAGAATAAATTTTCATAAAATATTTGTTCCTTAAACCTTTGTTAAATGATTTA